ATCCACTCACCTCAGCCTCCCAAAGCGCGGGATTACAGGCTGAGCCACTGAACCCGGCTTACCCTGACTCTTAACAAAAGCTGGGAGCCTGAGGCCTAGCCCTGAAGAGGGTGCTGGTCATCCTGTGGGAAAACGAGCACAGTCTACCCAGTGTAGCAGGCCACCCTGGAGATGTGGGTGTGACGTGATGGTTGCCTCTAATGAACAAGCCCTGGGGCTTTATGCCATCACTTGCTGGTTCCCAGAGGTGTCAGCAAGCCAGTTTTGACTCTTCGCGCGTTGGGTTCCCCGCAACCCCAAGTGTGGTGTCTTCCAGATCTTTCCACGTGGCATCCATCTTTTTCGCCTGAGGTTGCCCAAGACACAGCAAATACCTAGCACATATCTGGAATTTAAAAGAGTTTTTTTACAGGTCTGGTGTTTGGAAGGCTTCTTTTTAGCTAAGAAAACCAAGTACGCAAGATTAGCACACCCAGCATCGTCAGCGGCACCAAAGTTGGAACTGGGGCCACTATCTACCCAGCATCTCTCTGAAGGTTGTTCCTGGACTCTGTCTACCTTAAGTTGGGTCAGAGCCCTGAGCCTACCCTGCTAGGGTCCCTCTGCCCTAGATTCTGTGCGTACCCCTTTTAGGGTAGTTTCAGTCCCTCCTTCCCCCTAGCATTATAAGCTCCTTGAGGGTAGGGGCCATGTCTTATTTGAGGTTTCGCCACTCAGTGCCTGGTAGAGAAACTAGTCTACAGTCAATGTTTGTTGAGCAAATGAATATATGAACAGATGAATGGATGACTGTCTATTTGGCAAGCCTCACTGGTCTTTTTGCTGTCTTGAAAACACTGGGGCTCCCACCCTGGGGCCTTTGCCCTGGTTGTTCCCTTGGGCTGGAATGTTCTTTCCCAGAAGTCACCAGGGCTCGTTCTCTTCACTTCCTATGTCTGTCCACTTCTTTTCTCAGTCTTCTCACCCTGTTTAAAACTTTGCTCCTCATCTCACCCACCTTCCCAACCTCTTTGCCGTGAACTAATTTTCCTTCTTCTCATAACACACATCACTCTCTGACATGTGTGTAATTTGCTGGCTTACTGTGTTGACCACTGTCTCCTCCTATTGGAATGTAAGTTCTTAAGGGCAGGGCTCTTTGTTTTGTTCATGGATGTATCTTCAGTCCCTAGAGTGGCTCTTGGCACATAGTAAGGCCTCAATAACATGTCTTGAGTCAGGAAATGAATGAATGAATGAATACTTGTCAGGTTTGGGAGACAATTATTTCCATTCCAGAAGTCTTGGAATTTTGAGGAGTTGATGAGGGATTTAAAACAAATAAGGGTGTTGGGCCTTTATTAGGGTTCAGATTTCTAGCCACACAGGGTGGACAGGAGCTCTCATGATGACATGTGTATCAATGGTTTGGCCAGTAACCAAAAAGTAGAGTTTGGGGCCTCGGGTGTGAGGCATAGTTCCTCTCCCCATGCCTCAGTTTCCCTGCCAGTAAGCAGTCTTTGGCCACCGGGAGTTTACACAGCTTCCCACATTTGTTGAGTCATGAGTGTGTGCCTACACACTTAGAGACAGGCTCAGGCTGTTAATACAGGTGTGGGGGCTGAGCTTTCCTAGAAATAAGGCAAGGAGCCCGGGCTCGGTGGCTCAGTGGCTCAGCCTGTAATCCCAGTACTTTGGGAGGCCGAGGTGAGTTGATTGCCTGAGCCTGCAGGTTCGAGACCAGCCCAGGCAACTTGGCGAGATCTCATCTCTTCAGTAAATTAAAAATTAGCGCATGCTTGTAGTTCTGGCTACTTGGAAGGCTGAGGCAGAAGGCTCACTGGAAGGCCAGCAGGTTGACACTGGGGTGGCCGTGAGTGTGCCACTGCCCTCCAGCCTGGGCGACAGAGTGAGACTCCAACTCAAAAAAAAACAAAACAAAAGAAATAAGGCAAGGGGTACAGCCTTCCAGCAGCTTCTGCCTCCCAGTTCAAGGCAGGTAGTATCAGATATTTATGGAGCCCTATGCCATGTGCTGCAGGACCTCAAGAGTAAGACCACCCAGTTGGTAAGACACACCCTTGGGCCTCTGAGAGGCTCATGAGATTTGAACCTTGGCCCTGCGGCTTATACCTCACCTAGACTGTAGTACTGGGTTTGTCCACAGCTCAGAATCTCAGAATAAAGACGCCTCAGCTACTCCTGACCCAGTTTGCCTTTTGCCTTCACCATTTCACTGCTTTCCCAGGCCCCGCAGAGTAACCAATGAACTTTCCACGTGGAGGTCAGAGATCCAGCCCCATACTGAAACCCACCGTCAGGCCGTGCCCCTCCCTCTGGGACAGTCTGGCCCCTCCCAGCACTTAGCTCATCTTTAGCCATCTTATCTTCCCCCACCCACCTTATAATCATCTAGACCACTGTACAGACCAGGGGTGCAAACTCCACCCAGCTTGGTCACTGACCCAGGAGGTGACCTTGGACCTGTTACTCCTCTCAGCAAGTTAGTGGGCTATAAATTGGAGGAAAAAAAGCT